TCATCCCATACTAGTACATTATGAGTCGTGACCATGGCCGTATTTCCCCCGGTTATGTGTACTTCAAGCCACCTGGAAGTGCATCAGATTCCATTTCTGCTCATTTTTGGCTGTAATGCACAAACCAAGCCCATCTAGCCATAATTTAGGGCTCGATTGTCATGAACACACCTTGCGGCGCTGTACACTCCTGCCTCTGCCCAAATCCTGCTGTTAATACTGCTCTTGCCAGGCATTACTACATTATTGTCATCATTTTTCAATTTCGCCGGCAATTCAACCATGCGGATCGTGCTCTCCTTTGTACTAGCGTCAGCGGTTCAAGCCGCAGTGTCGTGTGGGTTTGACACGTTCAACTACACTGAAACGACCATCGACAAGCTGCAAGACGCTATCGTCAGCAAGCAGCTCAGTGCCGAGGAAATCGTTCAGGTTGGTTTGGGTTTTAGAAGTTCATCGGTGAAGTACTAACTGGTGCCAATCATGCCCAGCATTATTTGGACGTGATTGATCAACTCAACCACAACGGCCCACAACTCAACGCTGTGATCGAGACGAGCCCCACCGCGTTGGCCCAGGCCATCGCCCAAGACCGCAATGGCACCCGCAGCGGCCTGCTCCACGGCATCCCCATCCTCATCAAGGACAACATCGCGACCACGGACGACGGCTTAACCGCGTGCGCCGGGTCATTTGCGATGGAGGGGAACATCGCCCCCCGCGACGCCTTCCTCGTCCAGAAACTCCGCGCGGCCGGGGCGATTGTCCTCGGGCATGCCAATATGGTTGAGTGGGCCAACTGGCGCACCCTCACGGAGTCGGTCGATTGGAGGTACCACCCTCCATTGCTGACGATGTTTCATACGAATTCGCCTCGTAGTGCTCGCGGTGGTATCACCAAGAATCCGTACGTGCTGACCGCGCGCACATCAGGTTCGTCGTCTGGCTCGGGCTCGACGGTGGCGGCCAACATGATTCCTGTTGCGATTGGCACGGAGACAGGTTTGTGGTTTGTGGTAGATACGCTTATGGAGTGGTTGGTTGGGTCCAATGTGGCTTTGTCTTCGGTGTAGATGGCAGCATTGTCGGCCCGGCATCGTTTCAGTCCGTCGTCGGGTTGAAGCCAACGGTGGGCCTTGTAAGTCGCACGGGTGTGATTCCTTTCTCGGCGCGCCAAGACTCTCCAGGGTACGGCACCCCACCCAACAACGTTTCTTGATGTTAATATCCTAGCCCCATGGGCCGCACCGTGGCGGACGTGGCCCGTGTGTTGGAAGCCATTGCCGGCTTCGACCCGACTGACCCCGCCTCCAAGGACGCCCCCGTGCCCGAGTACTCGCAAACGTACAACGCACTGACGTCGTTCAAGAAGATTCGCGTGGCGATTTCCAAAGAAGCACATGACATAACCAAAAACAAGCTCCTTTCCCAGGCGCATATCGATGCGTTTAACCAGGGGGTGGAGAAATTGAAAACGCTCGGCGCCGACATCGTGTACGCGCCGTACCCCAATGCCGCCGCCATCTCGGAGTCCGAATGCCAAGTACGAGTTCTTGTATTATGTTTTGGATTATTGGTGCATGTGTCGTGTGCTCATATTGTGTGTGGTGATACAGTATGTCGCGTTCACGACCGAATTCAAAGTCGATGTCGAAGCGTACTTAAGCACGTTGACGTGGAAAGAGGGCGTGACGCCTATGAAAACCCTCCAGGACATTACCGACTACAATGCTGCGCACCCCGACACGGAGCTCAACGTGCTCGATCAAGTAAGACCTCTCTTGTCTTCGCATCATGGCGACTTTTCATTCGAACCAACTTGTAGTCGTTGCTTTTGCTGTCGCTCAACGGCCCAAACCAAACCAGCAAAGTCTACCTGGATGCGCTAGCCTTGTGCCAAGACTTTGCCGTGACCAACGGCATTGAAAAGTACATCAAGGACACACAAGCCGACGTGATCTTTGCGCTCACCGAGTCGTGGTTCCCCGGATACCCTTCGATTGCGGGGTGGCCCATCCTCTCGGTACCCTTGGGGTACAACCACTCGGTGCCGTTCGGCGTGTCCTTTGTCACGCCCAAGTACCACGAAGAAAAACTCCTGCAATATGGCTACGTGTTTGAACAAGCCACGAAAGCGCGTGTGACACCCCAGTTTTTGCCCGACAATTAAGTCGTCCATCATCACATCGTGCGTTTCACTGTATTGTCCATGGCATCTTGTTGATATGGAAGAACATTTCTTCCAAGTGTGGGAGTTTGTCAAAGCGACGTAATCTCCGACGTAGTTGCATGTGGGTGTTCACTATGTCGTGGTCAAAATTATCGACGTAGTTGCATGTACTACTGTAGTAGGTGAATCTGGAGTACTGTAAAACACGATAACTATTGGGTAATGGGGTCAAAAACTGCTCAAGGCTTAATTCGCTCCGAATTTCCTTGTTAAGCGATACTGTACAGTACCACTGGTACTTTACTACTAGTACTGCAGTGTACGTAGCAGTACGTAGTACAGGTACAGTAGTACTATTATTTCATATTCTCAGTGCGTGCAGTAGTTTAGTACTTCCTACAGTAGTCCCCCTTGAGTACATACTACGTAGTAGTAAAATGCAGTTTAACCAAAACAACATATTCCAGCTAACGCTAGTGGTGATGCCAACCCCGGGAATAGCAACACAAGGGGTCCGAGGTTTCATGGCTTTTGGCGTTTTTGAAGGGAAAAATCGTCACGTCAGCATAAGAGGAACTGTTGCTCTCAGTGAATTATTCCCATTCGTACCATTCCAGGCAGAACTTCAAGTCATCTGGAAAGCGTATCATATACCATTTCTGATCATTTCGGACGTTTACAGCAAAACCAAACCAGGTCTCCATAATTTACAGCTCGATTAGGTCAGGTTGCCAAGAACAAACCTTCGGTTCTGTATGTTGATACACTGTACTGGTGGTGTACAAGGCTACCACAACATTATTAATTTCAATTTCGCCTGCAATTCAACCATGCGGATCGTGCTCTCCTTTGTACTAGCGTCAGCGGTTCAAGCCGCAGTGTCGTGTGGGTTTGACACGTTCAACTACACTGAAACGACCATCGACAAGCTGCAAGACGCTATCGTCAGCAAGCAGCTCAGTGCCGAGGAAATCGTTCAGGTTGGTTTGGGTTTTAGAAGTTCATCGGTGAAGTACTAACTGGTGCCAATCATGCCCAGCATTATTTGGACGTGATTGATCAACTCAACCACAACGGCCCACAACTCAACGCTGTGATCGAGACGAGCCCCACCGCGTTGGCCCAGGCCATCGCCCAAGACCGCAATGGCACCCGCAGCGGCCTGCTCCACGGCATCCCCATCCTCATCAAGGACAACATCGCGACCACGGACGACGGCTTAACCGCGTGCGCCGGGTCATTTGCGATGGAGGGGAACATCGCCCCCCGCGACGCCTTCCTCGTCCAGAAACTCCGCGCGGCCGGGGCGATTGTCCTCGGGCATGCCAATATGGTTGAGTGGGCCAACTGGCGCACCCTCACGGAGTCGGTCGATTGGAGGTACCACCCTCTATTGCTGACGATGTTTCATACGAATTCGCCTCGTAGTGCTCGCGGTGGTATCACCAAGAATCCGTACGTGCTGACCGCGCGCACAACCGGTTCGTCGTCTGGCTCGGGCTCGACGGTGGCGGCCAACATGATTCCTGTTGCTTCGACCCGACTGACCCCGCCTCCAAGGACGCCCCCGTGCCCAAGTACTCGCAAATGTACAACGCCCTGACGTCGTTCAAGAACATTCGGGTGGCGATTTCCAAAGAAGCACATGACAAAACCAAAAACAAGCTCCTTTCCCAGGCGCATATCGATGCGTTTAACCAGGGGGTGGGGAAATTGAAAACGCTCGGCGCCGACATCGTGTACGCGCCTGTTGTCCGGCGAAAACCAGGAACAAGGGACTTCAAGTTTCTCCGACATCTGAGAACTATGAATTTCCCCAAATCCTGGATTTTGATTGGCTCATTCCATATTTCATCCTGATACTGACCAAAAATCAGGTTTTCACCTTTTGGGCCACATCCGAACATCTGCGAACATATATTTACCAATATGAATTCGGACGTAGCCAAGTAGATTACATTTAGATAGTGAGCGCATTTCTTTAGCTAGCTACAAAGCGAACCTAACTTCATATAATCACTTCTGAATTTACCATCTACCTGTCTATCCTTCACGGGAGTGACAACAAAGAATTCTTTAGTGAATTTGCTCCTGCGGACACACTTCGTGCCCCAGTTCCCTACGCTTGCCTTAGTCGACGAGGCGCGTTCTTGCTTTTTCCCTGCCGTGACCATGGACGAAGACGCTTCGTCTACTCCCTTGTCGCCGCGCACTGGGGCTGGCCTTGTGCTGACCCGTACCCGATCCCAGGAGGCCGTATGCCCATTACCCTCCTGATATTGCTGTCCAGCAGATGGACCAAGCCGTGGATGCACAGTCATCCCGGCTGGACACGGTGCAGCAAGCTGTTGGTGCTCAAAGCCAACACACATACGAACAGCTAGTGGTGCTCCACCAGCATCAATAATTGCAAGCCAATGCTCAGATGGAGCTCAACCATAAGCTGATGGCTGGCTGGCTTTGCTGCGTGACCTGCAGAACCAGCTGATGGCCCAGTTGGAATCCCAACGCCGGACCACCGAACATCATGACCAAGGACTGCGAGCAGCTGCTGCGTCCTCTGTCATGCAAGCCGAAGCGTTGGAAGACATGCGATGCCGTACGAGTGCCAGATGGCATGTCTTTACGGCTGCCCCACCGCCACTTTCGGTGCAAGTACCTGCGTCACTGGGTGTACAAATGGTCTATGGATTCCAAGCGGTGCCCAAGGCCCCGACGTTTAATGGAAGCACAAAGGTGCAGAAGCGTCGGTTCATGGACCAGTATGAGGCTTACATCCGTGAGATCCGTCTCGCCAATGCCCAACGACCCGGTGGATAGCAAGTCTACCAGATACCTCTCAGCGGCTGTATCGATCCGCTGTCCGTGGAGTGTATCGCCTTCTGGGAGATTGGCAAGCCAAGCCATGAGCTAACCGAGGAAGACTGGCGAGACTTTTCCCTTGGAGCTCGCATTGTAGATCCTGTAGATATGACCAAGCTCAACCAAGCCATGGGGAAGCTCAGGATGGACATCTCAATCCTGTCATCCGAATCACGTGTCTCAAAGCTGGTTAGCTTCGAGGCTACGCTGGTTCGTCTCAACTTGGAAGGTTTCGCTGAGTCTGAGCCCAAGCTTACGGTGGATTTTCTGATGGCTGCTATCATGCCACCTGCTGTGCAGAAGCGTGTGCGTGAGCTCATGAAGATTTATGAGAACCGTGGCTACAAGAAGGACGCCCGAGCGTTCAAGAACTGGCTCGCCGAATATATGCGTCGTTACGGCGAATTCGAGCCATTGGTACAGGCTACCCCTCTGTCTCCTAGGCCTACGCCTGACAAGACTGGTGACAAGGGCGGAAGAGGTGGGAGAGGCCGTGGTGGCAGGGACAAGACGGTGGCCGTTGTCAACGTGGATAGGGTCCCTAAAGGACGGGAAGTGCTTCAAGTGTTTGAGCACTGGTCACAACGTGTTCAAGTGTCCCAAGGTGGCCGATGGCGAAGCCCGTCTGTTGATGGATCGGGCCAAGGCCATCTGGGCCGAAGCCAGAGGCGAAGGCAAGACGGAGAAGGCGATAACCATTGCCAAAGAGGTGAAGACAGTTGAGCCGAGTGAAGAATCCGCCGTCTTGTGTGCTGCGCGTGTGGTCTGCACAGCCAGCCAGGCTGTAGCTCTGGATGCCTCGTTCGACAGTGGTGCGGACCAGAGCGTGATCCCTCCCAAGACGCTCCAGATGTTGAAGGACGCCGGGCGTGACGTGGTCGTGACGGATCTGCCGACACCTGTTGTGGTCTGAGGTTTTGTGGGCCATACGGTGGCCCAAGAAGTCAAGCTGACGCTCAAGTTCGAGGCCGATGTTGGCTCCCTGGTATTGGCTAACGTCAAGTGCTGGCTCTCTGTCGGTAACCTGCCAGCTGGTGTGGGTGACATCCTGCTTAGCCGTCCTATCATACACAAGCTAGGCTACGACCCGCAGTCTATGCTACGTGAAGCTGACGCGGTGTGCAGCGAATACGACATGGAAGACGTGGAGTCTACCAGTGGTGTGGTGAAGGCAGTCATGCTGGCGACCAACAAGAGCTGGTGGATGATCTAGCCGAAGAGGAAGAAGCTTTGGTGCCCATGGAGCTGGCCGCCTGTTTTCCCGATATGACGCCGGTCGATCCAGCTGTAGAACAAGCCAAGGTTCAGGCGGTGCTGGATGCCAGGGTGGCAGAAGCTCTGGTAGCTGGCTGTGGTGCTGAGTTTGCCCTGGGTCTATCCAAGCTCCTAGCCAAGTATATGGACGTTTTCTGCCTTACGCTTGGCCGCGACCCACCGGTGGACATGCCACCTTTAAAGGTGCATCCGACAAAGAACTCCAAGCCTGTGCGTTGCAAGGCTAGACGCTATTCCCTCCCTCAGCGTGAGTTCATGCAGAAGCATGTGGAAGAGCTGGAGAAGGCTGGTTTCATCTATCGAAACCCAGCCAGCCGATGGGCGTGTGCCCCTCTGATTGTGCGCGAGTCTCATACCAAGGACGAATTCCGTATGACGGTGGACCTACGCCCAGTCAACAGCCAGACGGAGCAGATTGCCTGGCCTATGCCCATGTTGGAAGTTGTGGTGGACCACCTGCTTTTTCATGTTGGACTTCTTCAAGGGCTACTGGCAATTCTCCTTGGATCTAAGCTGCCAAGAGATGTTCTCGTTCCTTACGGACACTGGTGTCTACACATCTTATCGGGTGATGCAAGGTGGTAGCGATAGTGTGGCCTATTGCCAGGCTACGGTTCAAGCCATGTTCGCTGAGCAGCTGTACAAGTGCCTGTTAACCTGGTTGGACGACCTCCTGGGCTATCACAAGACACCATCTGGCCTGCTGTTGACCCTAGCTGAAGTGCTTGAAGTTTGCGCCAAACGTGGCCTGAAGCTACACCCAAAAAAGTGACAATTCTTCGTGGTGTGGCCGTATCATTAGCGGCGCTGGAGTGAAGCATGACCCAGTTCGAGTGGAAGCTCTACAGCGACTGCCCGAGCCCAAGACTGGGGCCGACCTCCAGCAGTAT